AGGGCAATGCTCAACTCTCAGCTTTAGACACACTAATACACTGACACTGCCACCGTCACTAAAATGCACCGTGACGGCGCAACACTGCACGTCGCGGCGAAACACAACGCAACACAACACAACACACTAGTCGACGCGCACATCGCCGGCAGATGTAACCGTCGGCATTGTTCACACACTTGTAAGTTCACAGACCCTATTCACTGCGCCATGAAGGTTCCAAGTGTTCCCTGAAGAAAGCAGTGATGGGTAGGGAAACACCGGGTAACACTGAAGTCCATTTATTAACGGATAGGAGAAATACAAGTGGTGACTAGCGTGTGCCATGCACGGCCCACAGAGTCAGACTGAGACTGCCTTGCCATATGGCAGCCTCGGGGCAATGTTGCCACATAATTATATACATAAATGCTACTCGGCACAGTAGCTTATTTACAAGGTTACTACCCGGCACAGTAGCATAGATACATAACCTACAGTAGTGGTAGTAGATAAACAGTGAGACAGACAGACAGACTAACAGACAAACATATATTAACAATCAGTTTCTCGATAAGTCCCATCCCATCACGAAGGTTCATGAAATACCGTGGTGGACCAGGCCGTGTTGACGAGTACCGTCAGTCTGGAACTATTCCTTTGTACTAGCCAGACCCAACAGTGCCTTTACTTATTTGAACGTATGAACAGCGCGGTATTAACCGTGTCTTATTTCTTTACTTCATTTTCTTTGTCTTTTTTTTTTGAGGACACCAATACGTCTAGCACTACCACATTCCCTGAGACAGCCTGACAGCATTCCTTCCCACCTGGTCTCCTTTCCTCCCTCACACACCGCGACCACACCTTTAACCCCTACTACCATCCCTCCTCCCGTCCTCTTTCATCCTCAACTTGAAGCTGTAGATCGGAGCGGTTTCACTGCTATAACCTGCAGGCATTCGGGTAAAGTGTTTATGCTTTGAATTTACCCTTCGTTAAATTTGTAGTCGTAATATATTAAAAAAGCTATGTTGATTATAATTTTATTGTATTTGTCCAGTGAATAAACTGATTAGTTTAAATTCTAAGAGACTAAACACAGAAATATACAAAGAAAATTTTTTAGAAGGTGATAACTATCTGGCTGTAGTCTAGTGTGAAAATATCGACTTTGTGTATGGTGCTAAAATACTATTAACCCCCTCCCCCAAAAAGCTTCAACATTTAAAACTAAAATCAGTGCACATAACATTTGTAATACAAAGACCCCAAACAAAATAATGGTTAATATTTGAGCATATAGTTAATACTAATTATGCACACCTTCAAAATTCAGGTGTAGTGCTTGTTCATTTTGGGCACAATCTATCGTTGAATTGGTTTGATATGTGTCGTATGCAGTTAGAACTCGTTTATGCTCACTTGTGGTCTTGCACAGGCTACATTATTTTCAGGGTTGGATACAACGCTCGTGAGTCGCTGGTTAACGCTTTAGACCCCTTTAGTCCACCCAGGTATGAATGGCTATCTAACTTACAGTTCGGGAAGTGAAGGTTATCAAGTGTAGTGCCAACCACACTGCCGTATACAGTGTGTTGTATCCGGATCTGTGGGACCCAAAGACATTGTCAACGCTTACAGAAATCAGATACATAGTGAATTTAGAGTATTTTTAGTAATATAATTTTTCCATGTCATGTTGTAAAAAGTAAGAAGACCTGGAATACAGGTTTATACATTGTCATAATTTTTATTGTGATTTTTATTATCATATCCTTAACAAGTTTTACTTAAACATCTCCTACACCGTGGTTGACGTTTTAGAGAAGAAGATAAAATGTCGTCAACCTGTCAACCATTTCACGGTCGATGAGGAACTAGTGATTTTGACGACCAAGCTACTTAAAACATCCATCTCACATCTTTAGTGTATTCTTTTTTCACATATAGAATAGAATATTATATAAATTTCTTATTACTTTGAAGGAATTAATGTCTAGTAGAGTTTTAATCTATTTTGCATTTCCAATATTTAGATTCTATATTCAGTACTGTATAAATTTGTTAATTGCGTTTCATTTGTCTTATTCTGCTATAGTAAGGACTTGCATCTCATATGTATATCTTTTTAGTAAGGAAAAGAACACATACATTTTGTATAAATATATATATATATATATATATATATATATATACAGTATATATATATATATATATATATATATATATATATATATATATATATATATATATATATATATATATATATATATATATGCCATCAGCCTATGCCTTCTTACTTCAGAGAAACAACAGCCAGTGCTGTGGGTTTGCCTCTCTCACTCCTAAAGACAGCCAACTGCCCATCTCTTGAAAACCTCCAGAATGCATTTTAATGAAACTGTCTTCCAGATGTCAGTTTTTGTAAGGCCTAGGGAGAAAGGAAGGGGGAGAGTGAGGGAGAGAGAAGAGGGGAATTGAGGGAGGGAAAAGGGAGGGAGGATATTTGGAAGGCGTACGTAAATTTTGCAGAAAACGTGGGTTCCCGAGATAAATAATCGTACTGTATTGGCAGTGTTCCAGGACTTTTTTTTATTTTCATGAAGAGTAACGCTACATAATATTTTATTTATGTTTTGAAATTCTGATGCCTGATATATTTCCATTGTGATGGAGGATCTATCAACCGGAGATGTGTATCTTTTAATTGTTGATTACTAATGCATTACGATTCTTGTCAGCTGTTATACAAACTGAAAAGTTATGAATAAAAAATCGTAGATATAAAAACTGAAACCTATTTCTTTGGTGATGTTCTTTTCCTTTTGCAAACTCCAGATGACAAAAAAACACCAAGGAAAATTTGTTGACCCTATTGAGTTCAGGGTAAAATAAAGGTGATTTTTTTCTTTTGACTCTTCGACTGAGGTAAGGTGTCAGACTAGGGAAAACTATGTTACCGGCAGCGGAGTATGGGAGACTGTAAGGTGTCAGACTAGGGAAAACTATGTTACCGGCAGCGGAGTATGGGATCGACTGCAAACTCCATGTAATTTCGTGGTATTTGAGCATAAATTCAAATTTATATATCAAATACTCCGTCAAATAATTCACTAGCACGTAACAGCGGGCTTTGAAATGCCCTACAGAACACTGATGTATCACGACGCAATCAGAGCGGCAAATGGAAACTGCAGGGAGGCCGACAGCGAGCGACATGTGCCGCTACACGCCCTCTTTGATCTAGTGCGCCAAACACACCCACCCAAACGACATTTCAACACCTCCTTATCGAATATTTTTTTTTTTTAGCTATGAATTTTATTTCACTAGAGTCTACTTTCGCAGGATATTGATTTCGTTTTCATAATGTTACTATTGGGGGGCATTAACTTAAAAACCCAAACCTCGCTTGCCCAAACTTCATTTCAAAACCTCCCTGTCGAATATTTTTCCCTATGCTATTATCAATTTTACTTCATGCCAATATTTCATATTTTTTTAGAAGGCAATTGTTTTTGTTTTCTACATATTAACAGTATTGTAGCTCACCAAACAAATACTACATTCCATCACATTTATTTGAGTGTGTGTAATGAAGAATTTCCTGTCACTGACTTTGTGAATTTTTTGTTTACCTTTTTATATCATTTATGTAATAATTTTATGGGGTAATTATATAACAATATAATAACACGATCACCCCTAAATATTAGTTTATTTATATAATCAATAATTTATTTATTTAGTTAGTTATTTATTGGGAATTTCTTTCACTTATTTACAAGGTTGTGATTGTTAGTTCGTTAACACCATCGGTCCCCAACAACTAGGATTATTGACACCATCTGTCCCCAACAACTAGGATTATTGACACCATCTGACCCCAACAACTAGGATTATTGACACCATCTGTCCCCGACAACTAGGATTATTGACACCATCTGTCCCCAACAACTAGGATTATTGACACCATCTGTCCCCAACAACTAGGATTATTGACTCCATCTGTCCCCAACAACTAGGATTATTGACACCATCTGACCCCAACAACTAGGATTATTGACACCATCTGTCCCAACAACTAGGATTATTGACACCATCTGCCCCCAACAACTAGGATTATTGACTCCATCTGTCCCCAACAACTAGGATTATTGACACCATCTGTCCCCAACAACTAGGATTATTGACTCCATCTGTCCCCAACAACTAGGATTATTGACACCATCTGTCCCTCAACAACTAGGATTATTGACTCATCTGTCCCCAACAACTAGGATTATTGACACCATCTGTCCCAACAACTAGGATTATTGACACCATCTGTCCCCAACAACTAGGATTATTGACACCATCTGTCCCCAACAACTAGGATTATTGACACCATCTGTCCCCAACAACTAGGATTATTGACACCATCTGTCCCCAACAACTAGGATTATTGACACCATCTGTCCCCAACAACTAGGATTATTGACACCATCTGTCCCCAACAACTATTGTTGACACCATCTGACCCCAACAGCTTGGATGAAATTATTGACACCATCTGACCCCAACAACTAGGGTTATTGACAACATCTGTTCCCAACAACCAGGCCTATTGACATCTTCTGACCACAACACTTAGGCTTGTTGACGCTATCTGACCCCAACAACTAGGATTATTGACACCATCTGTCCCCAACAACTAAGATTATTGACACCGTTTGTCCCCAACAACTAGGACAATTGGCACCATATGAACCCAACACCTACGATCATTGACACCATATGTCCCCAACAACCAGCCCCACTGACATCTTCTGACCCCAAGAACTAGACCTATTGACACCATTTGACCCCAACAACTAGGACAATTGACACCATCTGATCCCAACAATAGGCTATTTAGTAAACCAGGTTGACCTTATTTGACCTTCCGCACTAAATCTATTTACCTTGCCTAACCCTTAACTAAAGCAACAGGTTAATTAGCAAGCCAATTTTATCATATAATGACCTCTTTCCAACAGCCACGACCATCAGAGTGGAACGTGTGGTGGTACCTCCTGTCGTGCTGGCCGGGAGAAGGGTCAAGCTAGAGTGTCAATACAAAGAAGAAGGTGATAAGCTGTATTCCCTTAAATGGTGGAGGAATGACGATCAGTTCTACCAGTTTATCCCCCCGGACAGAAAACACTTCAAGGTGCCTGGTGTGACGGTCAACTTCACAGCCAGTTACACCCTCAGTGCTGTGAGTACTGGGAGGAAGGGAGTGGGTCAGGGTAGGGGAAGTAAGGAGTGGGGGGAAGGAGGTGAGGAAGTTATTGGAAATGGAGGGTAAAAGGTAAATGGGGAGTAGGTGATGATGGAGGGAGGGGGTAAGGAAGAAGGGAGATAGAGAACAGGGGAAAAGGAAGGGAAGGGGAGAGGAGAAGGGGGAAGAGATATTTACAGTTAAGAAACAAATCCAGGTACATTAAACCACAAGTGAAGGAACAACACAGATGCAAGTACGAGAAGAGTTAAAAGTACAGTAACATGAAGGCATATATAAAGGTACACTGTTAATTCAGGTATAAGTATAGGCACAAGTACATAACGGTAGAGGTGCAACTTAGATATAGGTACACCTACTCGGGCATTATTTATTGATTTTTTTTATAAAGTTGCATGTAGGTACGATCAAGCTAATTTGTTGTTGATATCACATGTACAATATTACTAGAGCCCAAATACATACATACATACATACATACATACACACATACACACACACACACACACACACACACATACATACATACATACATACATACATACATACATACATACATACATACCATGCATACATACATACCAGACGACCAGTTATGGGCAACGTGGATACAGTACACTATGCACAGACCTTTTGATCATGAGGAGGCAATGTGGCTGGCGCTGGACTCGACCGCCTTCACCTCCACAACTGTAAAGTTAGGTACTTGTTGACAGTTGAGTGGGTCTTGGAAGATTAAGGCCAACACCAGGTAAATTCTATGATGCCTTCAAGTCCTTTATTTCAAGATGCCAATTTAATCACAGGTAAATACAAATCAATTCTCAGTCAGCATATCCAGTACTTTATGTTGCTCCAGGAAACAAACTGTCAACTTTAGCTGAATTTTCATCAACTCTCAACTCCACTATTTGACCCAGGAGTTGTTTTGTCAACATCAGGCCACCTTTGATCAATTCTCAACCCTCCAATTCAATAGTATTCTTCCCTCATGCATTGGTAGATGATGTGTTTATCATATATTTATTAACCCGAATCAACTTTCAATTACATTCGTTCAATCGTCAACACTTACACCTGTTACAGTAGTTGGCTCATTTTGTGAGATGTAGCAACTTTATTTATGTTTACATTATAGCCAAACTCCCGGAATGGCCTAAGGAACTTCGCAATAGTAGCCGTCCTAAGAATGATAAATAAATATTTCACCTATATCTCTGACTGCCAGCATTTCTTGCATAGTAATAGTTTTAATACATGTTACAAATTAGAACGTCCTTGGCTCCTATCTGCTTTCTTCTAGGAATTTAGACGGTGGTGGTGTGGCGAGGTGTTATAACGTAAGGCGAAGATAGGGGAAGAGGTGCACCGACATACTGTCGTATCTAGTAATATCTCCTCAACCTGTGAATGCTGATATTTTATATGTGGATTTAGGTAATATTGGAATAAACCTATGAGACGTTATTGCATCCTGTTTTCTTTATTATGTGAACCATATTCATACTTGCCATGAAAACTTTTTTGCCAAACTTGGGAATAATGAAGTTTGCCTAAATTTCAAAAGTTACTTCTAAGCTTGCATCCAAGTAGACCTGATTTATACTTATCTGTACTCTAATCAACTAATATCAAGTTTTGTGTCCGGATGTCACTCACGATGGCTCTGAGAAAATATGTGAAGACCAGTCCTGCCACCACCACACAACCTCACACACCACACACCATGATAAAGCTTACAACTACCCATATTTATTCTACCGTCTCTTACACTGTGCTGGTTGGTTTCCTACCATTAAAATAAAACTGGTAGATCTATACTGTGTAACCATTTATTGCTACACATTTACTGATAGTTAGGTTGTGGAGTAAATTAGGGTTCCTGCTGATTCATATGTGATTGTTTACATGAAAATTATTAGGGTTTGTTTAACAAATATTTATAACTGCACATACTGTATGTAATAAAGCCACCAATACATTATTTTTATAAATTAGTTACCATTCTTCTTGTTAATTATCAATCTTGCTCATAAAAACTTGCTATGAAAGGTGGGGGTAATCTGCCTAATTGGTGTATAACTACACTTTAAAACAATCCCTGCCAATTTCCAAATACTGTATAATTATCATGCCTCAAATAATTTCGGTTATTCAATTCAATATCACACACTGGCCGGTTATAGTCAATGGTTGTATTGTATAGTATAATATAATCCTATATACCCCGTCATATTAGGAGGGCAACCAGATAACACAATTTACTTTTATTCTGAATGTTACTAATGAGTCCACCCACCCTCTTCTCAATCACCGCCCGCAGTCGGTCTGGTATACCTGTAGAAGCGACCTGGTTCAGGAGAAGGAGGTTTCATAAAATGTTCTTGGATCAAGAATACAGTAACTGTGGCTTATTGAGAAACAGTTCCCACTGGGCATGAGTGTAGGCCATAAGTTCCAATGGTGTCCGTTCCCTCTCTGGCTCCCATCAGTTAACTATATTCCACCATATATATTTTATGTGGGGTTCATATTTTGCCCCTTGTTCGACAGTCCTAGCAGCAGCAGATCCTATCGACTTCCCAACAACTACTGGACAACCCTGGGTGTATGAGTGAGCCAGAAGTCGTGGACAAAGTTGATGGGGCCTGTAGGGAATGGATAATGGATAATTCCTCTCCTGAAGTGAGAGGAGGAAAAATTATTGCAATATATTCATGCCTGCAAAAGTAAATATTAAGTCAATCTTGGTGATGCCACCTACCCCATGGGTGGAAACCCACTCCCACAATAGAAGTAATAATTATCTGTATTTAAGCCAAGGTCACATACTGTTTATAATAGTGACTTATCGTATACCACTATCACTATATTATCTGATGCATTATCCCATACAGTTGATCATATATATTGTATAGGACTATAGGTGGTGTCGTGGAAGCTCACTCTGTGCTGGACGTGGATTGAGACGAGTTGGAACAGGCAGGGAGTGCAGTTACAATGGGGTTACAACAATTATGTAGTTTCGTTTGTGTATAATATTAGGTTCAAATGTTGATTCTATATCGTGTCTCATAGTAGTTTTTTTAATAATCAGTAACAGTTGTATTATATTGTATGAGTGAGCCACCATGAAGAATTCCTTAGCCCGTGAATGATCACTTAATTTCCAAACATAGTATTGGAGGCTTTATGACATAGCGTATGTGCAATTTCAAATATATATTTTCTAAACCATAATAATCTGCATGTAAACAATCAAATATAAAACAGCAGGAATAATAGATGATTACACAGTTTTAATTTAATGGTAGGAAACCAACAAGCATAGTCAAAGAGACGGTAGAATAATTATGGTTAGTGGTAAGCTTTATCATGGTGTGTGGTGTGTGAGGTTGTGTGGTGGTGGCAAGGACTGGTCTTCACATATTTTCTCAGAGCCGTCGTGAGTGATTCATCCAGACACAAAACTTTATATTAGTAGACTAGAGTACAGATAAGTTTAATGCCAGGTCTCCTTGGGGGCAAGCTTAAAAATAACTTGAAATTTATATAAACTTCATCATACCCAAGTTTGGCCAAAAAATTATCACATGGCATCACAAAAAATTATGACCAAGTCCCAGGTTGCTGATCTGACTTTCTGCCTCATTTACACACAATTGCAGGGTCTCAATTGTTTATCTTGCTTGGACAACAAAACGTATCGTTTCTCACTCTTGACCTGTTTTATTTTTTCCATTTCTATATTTATTTTCGACACGATTTGTTTCTTCTCCCCCCACCCCCTCCCGCAGGCCCCGATGTGGGTCGGTGACCTGTGACTGGGTGGGCTAATCCCAATTTAAAAAATACCCAAGTTTGGCAAAAAAAAGTTGTCCTGGCAAGTATGAATATGGTTTAACATAATTATGAAGACTGGATTCAATAACGTTTCATAAGTTTATCCCAAAATTACTTAAATCCATATATAAAATATCAGCATTCACAGGTTGAGGAGATATTACTAGATACGACATAATGTCGGTGCACCTCTTCCCCTATCTTCTCCTAACGTCATAACACCTCGCCACACCACCACCGTATAAATTCTTAGAAGAAAGCAGATAGGAGCCAAGGACGTTCTAATTTGTAACTTGTATTAAAACTATTATCAAGCATGAAATGCTGGTACTCAGAGATAGAGGTGAAATATTATTTTATTTAGCATCCTTAGGCCGGCTACTATTGCAAAGTTCCTTCGGGCCATTCCGGGAGTTTTACTGAAATGTCAACAAACAAAAACCTACCACATCTCACAAAATGCGCCAACCACTGTAACCAGTGTAACTGTAGGCGATTGTACCTGATCTAGGACGTGAAATGTCACTCTAATGTCAATTTTGTAATCAATTCTCACTCATACTGGTTCACCGTCTTATCAACTCAGATGCTTCACTCTAATCAACCTTTAACCTTATGTCAACTCTCATACATTCTCAACTCTATGTCAGTCTGAATAAAATTTCAAGCCTCATTTAAACTCTAATCACCTCTCCAGTCTGATCAACCTTCAACCACAGGTTACCTCTAACCAATACCCAATCTCATGTCCAGTTTGATGAAGAATACCTTTGACCTGACGTACTCCTACAGGGCAGCAGAGGGCAGGAGGTGGTGGTCCTGGAGCCGGTGGACCTGGAAGCTGCTGGGGTATATAAGTGTGAGGTTATGGCAGATGTCAACTTCCAGACGGAGTTTCGTCAGGCGAATATGACTGTTATGTGTAAGTAAGAATGTTGGTGAGACCCATAACTGTGTGTGTCTGTGTGTGTGTGTGTGTGTGTGTGTGTGTGTGTGTGCTTACCAGCCGTCTCTGCACTCTCCTCGAGAGTATATGGGAAAAGGAGGAAATCCCCCAAACTTTTAAAGACGCCTCCATTGTCAATATTTATAAGAACAAGGGAAACCTGTCAGCCTGTGGCAACTACCGTGGGATCTCGCTGCTCTTCGAAGCTGGCAAGATTATCGCCCGAGTCCTCCTAAACAGACTTCTTGCTGAGGCGGAAAACTTCCTCCCTGAATCTCAATGTGGTTTTAAACCATCACGTGGCACCATTGACATGATCTTTGCTGCCCACCAGATACAGGAAAAATGCAGAGAACAGCGTCGTGACCTGTACATGACTTTCATCGACCTAACCAAGGCCTTTGACTCGTCAACAGGGAAGCCCTCTGGTGGACCCTCAGCCGTTTTGGCTGCCCATCAAACTTCATCGCCATTGTGAGGCAACTCCACGATGGAATGAACGGCATTGTCCTGCACAGCGGCACCCAGTCTCAGTTCTTCCCCAACCAAACAGGGGTTCAGCAAGGGTGTATACTGGCACACACACTCTTTTTCATCTTCTTGACTGCCCTCCTAACTCGTGCCAGTGCCAATTTAGCCAGCGGGGTGAACATCGAATACCGGATGAAGGGGGATCTTTTCAACATAAGACGACTCCAGGCAGGCAAGAACAAAGGTGTCGTCAGCTTCCATTACTGAACTTCAGTATGTAGACGACCTCACCCTTGTTGCTCACACTGAACACAACCTCCAGAAGATCCTGAACACCTACGCAGACGCGTATGCACACTTCGACCTTGAGGTGAATGTACGTAAGACTCAGATTCTCTTTCAACCTGCCCTTGGTTCAGACACACCTCCACCATCCATCCAGCTTAACGGTACTACCCTCTCTTAATGTTGCCCACTTTCGGTATCTCGGCTCCCACCTGTCCACCACCGCAGACATCGATGAAGAGATTCAGCATCGGATCAGATGTACATCTCAAGCCTTTAGCAGACTCCGAAATCGTGTCTTCAGCTGTCGGGAGCTGAAATTATCTACAAAGCTACATGTATATCGAGCAGTGGTCCTCCCTACCCTGCTATATGGCAGTGAGACATGGGTCACATACAGGAGGCACCTCAAGGCACTTGAAATCTTTCACCAACGTTCCATCCTCCGAGTTCGCTGGGAAGACAAAAGAACAAATTCCAGTATTCTTGCTGACACCAACTGTAGGAGCATCGAGGCTACCATTAGCCATGAACAACTACGTTGGACTGGCCATGTTACCCGCATGGACAACAGTAGACTGCCAAAGGAGCTACTTTATAGTCACCTAAAGAATAGTACACGTAACGCCGGCGGGTAATTAAAAAGGTATAAGGATAATCTTAAGACAAACCTGAAAAAGTGCCAAATCGACCCCCTCACCTGGGAGTCGATTACTCCACATCGCAACACTTGGAGGAGCACCACACGAGAAGGTGTCAATACTTTCGAGTTAGTCCGGCTGCAAACCGAGGTAGACAAGCGCCAACGCCGGAAAGACGCTGTCACCGCCCCTCCCGCAGTAGAAGGAGCCCCCCACATGTGCATCGGGTGTGAATGACGCTGCGGGTCCCGTATCGGTCTCTTTAGTCACCTCAAAACTCACTAACCTAAGTGACATCCCTAATACCTCATATCATTGTATCATAGCCGGATGATCGTCATACTCGATTCTGATTGACAGCAAAGTAGTAGTAGTAGTAGTAGCAGTAAAAAAAAATCTGGACCACATGAAGGTTGACTCCCCAAGCTTATTTCATCTTAAGATTAACCACCATAACGCTAGCCTCACCTACTATAAACAAAACCTAACCAAACATAATCTCCAGGTTATCCTTTTTTTTTCCTTTGTTGCTTTGGGATCGCTTTGGCTGAGGGGAAAATTACTGGGGTTAGAGTGAGGGGGTGAGGAGCTCGACCAGTCAGCCTGGGACCCTGCGGGTGAGAGCGGCCGAGTATATTCTCGTGTTGGCTGTTGACCCAAATTTTTACTAAGTGACAGTTGATTTACATTTGGGCTCCCTGCGACCTCCCCATTTACCCCTAAGATCCCGCATCTGTTTTGATTTACACAGTGAAATTTGGCTATTTTCATTCACCATATTTTTATTATTATTCTGGACGAAATAAGTTTATATCTATTGTAATGTGCTAACCACGTTTTCAAATAAGTTGTACAGCTAAGTATGCTGAAGTATATTCAATCCTTTTCATCTTATATTTCTGATTTAATAGTTATATTTATGGGTATATTGAATTATCTATGCAAAACTCTTAAGGAAATATGGGTCATATGCTATGTTCTCGAGTTATTTTTATGTACTTACAGCGACGCAGGTATATTTTTTTAAGATACAGTACATCTTCCAGTGATTTTGAGGCATTAAACTTTATATTGTAAAAGCAAGGAAACATTAGAGCAGGAAAGTATAACTTTTTTCTTTGTATAACGTTCTGTATTTGATATTCATTTGTAAATTGTATTGTACTTAAGTTTGTAGGTGTTGATGAAAGATAGTTTTTTGTTTAAATTGTTTTTTTACCGCGTTTAGTTCTCTCTTCATCTCTCACTTTAACACACACACGTGACATATATATATATATATATATATATATATATATATATATATATATATATATATATATATATATATATATATATATATATATATATATATATATATATATATATATATATATATATATATATACACACACACAGTTAATGTATAACTGTTGATGATTTGTGTGTGTACTGTACTAACCTAATACACCCGCTTAACACCTTAGTTATGAATGACTTATAATAGATTACAACATAAACACCTCTCTTTATTTGTCCTTGTTTCTCCTATTTTCTCTAATACTTTTTTACTATTTTTCTTTTTTGTTTATTTAAAGAAGTATTGCATTGACTATTTGGTGTACTAATTATATTTATTTCCTGTTTTTTTTAATGCCTCATTTGTATTTACTTTTAGTCATCATAATCATTAAGTTAATATGTTTGCTTGATATTAGTGTCATTTATCTATTCTAATTATTCAATAATTTCCGTGTATTAATTTCACATATTGCTGAATACCGACTAATTCAACAATTATCTCTTCATCTATGCCACTCATTCAAAAACTTTGTATTTTCTGATCATTAATTTTCTGTGTTACTCTCTGTTTCTATTTTGGTGTTAATCTAGTTATTATTATTATTATTATTATTATTATTATTATTATTATTATTATTATTATTATAATAGTGTCATTATTATTATTCAGTAGTAGTAGTAGTAGTAGCGTCAATAAGATTATCTTGTTTACTCGCTATATTAACACCGTGCTGTATGGCTCGACAGACGCCCCAGAAGGCCCACCCATCATCACGCCGGGACCTAAGACGGACACCAGCAACATCACGGCTGGACAACTGGTCGTCCTGAACTGTTACTCCTCCCCTGCCAGTCCTCCGCCCGTACACACCTGGTACATCAATGGCAGACACGTAAGTCATAATCTTGTGGGCTTAGGAAATAATCTAACACACAGTACTCATATATGCTTGTCTCACGATCCTTCGTTTCAACACCAAGCAGAGATGTGACTTTACTTGTTGAAGCGCAGGGATCACTTGAACATTAGACACTCCAGCTTATTCACCTGTTGTTTAAACACCCAAACTTAACCTAACCTAACTTAATGTGACCTGACCTAACCTAACCTAACCGAAAATAACCTAACAAACCAGGTAGTGTAGCAATATATTATAACATCAACATCTTACAGGTGGAGCCATCATGGGTAAAGTCCTACTCTCCGGTATTCAGTGCAGGATTAGCCAAAACCAAGACGCGTCTCCAGTTCTCAGCCACGACGCAGTTGGTGGCATCTGGCAGGGCGCTGACGGTGACGTGCGAGGCTACCCAGAGAGTCCCTGGCGTAGTCAAGAGCATGGGCACTGAAGGGTATCTGCAGGTGGAGGAGGGAGGGGTAGGAGAGCCCCTACCCAGTTACAAGAAGAGCGCTCACCTCACTCTTCAGCCCACCCAACCTCCTTCCTTCTGGGATCGTATCTTCAGTGCTGGTGGGTACACGATGGAGCCGAGGTACTAGACGATGGAGGGAGGGGGGAAGGGAAATTTAGGGGATGTGGAAAAGGTGTGGCTCATATTTTAGGAGAGGGGGGATTTTAAAAGATGAGGATAGAGAGGAGTGGGATTTTAGGGGATGGAAGCAGAAGGGAGAGGGATTTTGGAGATGAAGGCAGGGATGGAGGGATTTTAGGGAAAGTGCATACTATGCCCATCATCTCTCCCAAAACTAAGTTCGTTACAATAAGAGTGGAGGAAAGACTCCAGCAGACGGCGAGATGTGTCATGAAAATAAATGATCTCACAAATGCCGAGAGAGGGAAACTGAGGGGGCGTGAGGACGACGACAAATGTGGCATATGAACAGAATCAAGGTCAATATAATAATAATAATAATAATAATAATAATAATAATAATAATAATAATAATAATTAATAATAGTAATAATAATATAATAATAATAAACACAGACGTACAGCATTTACAAACGCATGTGTATGTACAATACATCCTAATATAAAGTATACATACATACATACATACATACATACATACATACATCACCATGACCTCATCTGTAAATTTTGTGAGAAGCTTCTGCACCATCTTCGACACCGGCTACTACTACCACCCGAGATCCCTCGTCCGAGAATTGCTGTTCAACAGAGAATTGCTGTTCAACACCACAACCGCAACCAGCCCATACGAGCCCAGTCCCAACCATTGTAAAAATTATCAATAACTTGTAATCAACCAGTGTAATCACTCCCAACCAATCTTACCTTTTTGCACTGTCACTCTGTTGAAATGCCTTGTAGTATGACCTTCTCCCCACCTAGTTATTATATATCATATTTACAGTATATCACTTATGTTACTTGTATATTATTTGTAAATCAAGAGACCCATTCCCCAATTATGTAACTGTATATTTTCAGCCTTCCGGCTGCCATGGTCTTTCAATAAACCTTTAATTATTATTATTATTATTATTACGTACATAGATGCATACATACATACATAGGTATACTCTTGCCGCTTATTTTTGTCATTTTCATCTACTGTAGCTTATAATCTCTCTCTCTCTCTCTCTCTCTCTCTCTCTCTCTCTCTCTCGCGTGTGTGGTGATGAGGTGAAGGGATAAAGCGTGCCCCCCCCCCCCGACACACAGATATAATCTCATCTTTCCTCCTCGAATCTGAGCCTCAAAGTCTCATACTGTAGTCTCAAAGTCTCATGGAGCCTCAAAGTCTCATCGTCTCAAAATCTCCTAGAGCCTCAAAGTCTCGTAGTGTCTCAAAGTCTCCCAGAATCAAATCTCCTAGAGTTTCAAAGTCTCCAGGATTATCAAATTCAACTATATTCTCAAATTCTCCAAGAGCCTCAAAGTCTCCTACAGTCACATATTCTCCTAGTCTCAAAGTCTCCATCAGTCTCAAAGTCTTATAGAGCCTCAAAATCAAAAGAGCTTACCTGAAGATTAACACCTATCGTATATCACCTGAAGATTAACACCTATCGTATATCACCTGAAGATTAACACCTATCTTATGTCACCTGAAGATTAACACCTATCTTATATCACCTGAAGATTAACACCTATCGTATATCACCTGAAGATTAACACCTATCTTATATCACCTGAAGATTAACACCTATCTTATATCACCTGAAGATTAACACCTATCTTATGTCACCTGAAGATTAACACCTATCTTATATCACCTGAAGATTAACACCTATCTTATATCAAGATTCTTCTATTTACCTGGATGGGTAGTTAAGTGGGTCAAGTTAGGTCAGGTTACGCTTGAGGTTAGGTTAGGTTATGATAGGTTTAATCAGGATTGGGTGCTAGCTGCTGTTTAGGTTAGGTTAGGTTAGAAATGTTCGTTACACACGTTAATTGAAGGTAGTGGTGTGTGTGTATATATGTGTGTGTGTGTGTGTGTGTGTGTGTGTGTGTGTGTGTGTGTGTATGTCAGTGGGCTGTGGGTCTCAGTAATCGGATCACTGGTCACGCAAGACTCTGATCTAACTGGCCACTTTTTCTTCATAGCATATATATATATATATATATATATATATATATATATATATATATATATATATATATATATATATATATATATATATATATATATATATATAGTAAATCACTGTGCAAGTGTGATCTAGGTATATGCTGATGATCATAAGTGTGAGGTGAGTACAGACCTAGTCTGTACTCTGAAGATGGTACACGAAAGCTTTGTTTTTCTTCCCTGATATATATATATATATATATATATATATATATATATATATATACTGTATGTATATATATATATATATATATATATATATATATATATATATATATTTGTATAAATGCGCTGAAACAATGGTGCTTTGTTGTTTCTTTTCCCGTGATTTTATCAAGATATATCTTATCCACGTTTTCATTGTGGATTTACATATATATATATATATATATATATATATATATATATATATATATATATATATATATATATATATATATATATATATATATATATATATATATATATATTTTATTATATATATATATATATATATATATATATATATATATATATATATATATATATATATATATATATATATATATATATATATATATATATATATATATATATGTATATATGTATGTATGTATGTATGTATGTATGTATGTATGTATTCATAATATAAAGGATAATAATGATATAATATATTGCTATAAAATTTTACGGGCGATATTTTTAGATTAGAGTATATTATCTATGAACATATAGTAAATCTTCTGTATAATATAAATGATGTATATATATATATATATATATATATATATATATATATATATATATATATATATATATATATATATATATATATATATATATATATATATATATATATATATATATATATATATATATATATATATATATATATATATATATATATATATATATATATATATATATGGATGTATATATGTATGTATGTATGTATGTATGTATGTATGTATGTATTTTGGGTAAATTCATAATATAAAGGATAATAATGATGATAATAACCAGAGTCGAAATTGCTATAAAATTTTACGAAAACCACTCTCACAAATCCCAGAAAATTATAAATCTCTCTGCGATATTTTTAGAAACCCCAATGAAATAGAGTATGTTTATTATCTAACAAATGAACATAAGGATTGTGTTTCTTTCCTGTTGTTTTAGTAAATCTTCTGTAGGAACTTGGAAGGAAGATATAAATACCTTCCGTATTGTTCGACGATTGGCTAATGAATGAACTAGCATGGTGTAACTGTTTAAAGAACTTAATTGTTGAATTCAGGAATACACAAAACAACAATGTACAGTACTTGTTTTAGTAAATATATTTATGTTATTGTTTGCACTAATTTCTCATTTATTTATTTGGTATGATTTGTTCTATACGATCGTCGATGCCTATGACGTTATTTTAATTTATTTCCATGTAATTTCGATTGTTTATAATGCCCAAAACAGCAACATTTTCTGACAACAAAGACTATTTATCTTTCTGATGTTAACACAGACGTTTACTTAATCCAGGCCACAAACTTTACTAACTTCCCACTTCTTACTCTTGCAGGTTCCAGCGTACACGTTTGCTTGTACCACCACCACAGCCTGCTTCTACTGGTTATCGCCTCAGCTTTCCTGGTACCTCCTGCTCTCACCATCCCCTGCTGAGATCTTCTTTCACCCTCCTGTTCATTCTGATGATAATTAGCGCTATACAGTAATAAAAATCTCCTTTATTTATCCCGCTTGGCTGGGTAACTTCCGGCTCAGCGGAAGATGTCTTCGTGTAAGGCTGTATGATGAGACCTCCCGTCGCGTGACCTTGAGACGTCCTAATAATGAGATGTTACGACACGAGAGACTTTCTTGTGTTCTTTATCCGGTGATGTGATCTTACGGAATGAGAGGATCACCTGAAAATTAGGCACCCCAGCTTATTTCACTTGAAGATTAACCACCACAATGCTAACCAAACCTAACCTCCAGGGCAAGTTACGGTGGTTAAACTTCGGGTGAAATAAGCTGGTGTGCCTAATCTTCAGGTGATCCCATGGGCAGAAATAAAAAAGTATCACGTTTTTGCAGTCAACGTGAAGCAGCCTCGACAGATAACATGTTAGAGCGTTCACAGTTAAGAAAAATAATAATTATACTGTTTTCCGTGGTAAGTTCACACCAGTTGGTAAGACTCCTCTGATGAATGTTGAGTTGAACAGGGAAAATTGCCCTGGTAATTAAGTTAAATTCAGCCGATAACGAATTCAAGATGACTGGCAAAGAATTTTCATGGTGGTAAAATTACCGAAATTTTAAGATAGCCGGCAAAGCATTCACAAGAAGATAAAAAATTAAAAACAGTCGGCAGTGTATGCAAAGACTGCCAGTAAGGAATACAAGATGGAAGTCAGTGTACTCAAACACTGCCGATAAAGAATTCAAGATAGCCGAGAGTGCACAAAAAGAAAGATTGCCTGCAAAAAATTCTCAAGGTAACCGGCTACAGATGAATCCCTATAAATTGTCTTTTTCAATGAACGAGACAACCAAACCAGTTCATTTCTAACAAATGATTGTTACCTGGGTCGTTTAATACTGCTCGAAGTATAATAAGATGATACAATAAAAATTTACACCTTATTTTCAAGCCTTTGCTAGACTAATAATACGCGTATGTTTGGAACTGATGAGTGGAAGTGTGTGTGTGTGTGTGTGTGTGTGTGTGTGTGTTTAATACACGTGTCTCTCTCTCTCTCTCTCTCTCTCTCTCTTGCGTTTCTTGCTATGTGAATCTCAACTCTGCTGTGTACTTGCTGCTAAGTGATCTCTTCTCTGTTTGCTGTGACCTGCTGTTCAAAGATCCCTTCTCTGCTGCTGTAATTTGCTAGTAAATGTCCTATCAACTGGTGTGTATCAAGTGTCAAAGGATTCTCTGCGACGTTTAAGGAATCTCTTCTCTGCTGTGTACTTCTTGTTGAAAGATCTCTTCTGCTGCCAAATGATATTTTCTCTGCTGAGTCTATTGTTAGATGGCCTCTGTGAATCTGCTGTTAAATGACCTATTCTCTTTTATGCATCTGGGTGTTCAGTGATCTATTTTCTGCAATGCATTTGATGTTTCAGTTGTTATATAACCTCCATTTTGCTGTGTCTTTTACGTGATCAATTCTTTGCTGTGTCTGCTGTTAAAAGGCCTCTTTCCAGTAGTATCTGCTGTCAAAAGTCTCTTCATAGCTGTGTCTGCGGTAAAATTATATAGGCTGCTCAAAAAATTTTCTCCTGTGTATCTGCTGTTGAATAATATCTTCTTTGCTAAAACAGCTATTAAATATCTGTTACCCGCTGAACAAGAATGTCTACTCTGCTATCTGCTGTTAAGTGATGTCTGTTCATCTGTGTTTGTTGTTAAATGATCTCTGTTCATTTGTGTCTGTTGTTATATGATGTGTCCATCTGTGTCTGCTGTTAAATGACCTTTGTTCTCCTCCTCTCTCTCTCTCTCCTTTTCCCGTTTTATTCGTAAGACCCTCGGAGACAAATTTAATTTATTTTCATGTTTCGTCGCTTGCGTTAAAAAAATCCACCTAGGATAATTTTTCTGCGTTATAGTTTTTACGAAATTTGATATTATTGTATTTACTAACTCAATTCCCCTTCAGCACTACAGAGTTCAGCTTCATTTTGTTGCAAATTATCGAGTTCCTTTGCAGTCATAGTTCTTATAAATCGTCCAAATATAAATACTTTCAGTGATATCATTGTTAAATTCACTTCTTTTTAAGTTGATTCATAATACATTTTAGCAATAGGATATGTTGAATCGTTTTCAATAACTATCTTGTTCTAAGTCTTTTTAATTACTAGCTTGTGTTAAGTCGTTAAATAGCTTGTGTACAACGTTTTCTATCCAATTTTTATATTCAGTCGTTTTTTATAAATAATCTGCCGTTCGGAAAATCTGCATTTTGAAAGTGTAAATTTATTATTAACATCACCTTTTGCTGAAAAGTACTTTTTTGCAAATACAGTATGAACATTATCTTGAGTATATGTACTATATATATATCTTGATAAAATCACACGGGATTTTATCAAGATTTATCTTATCCACGTTTCCATTGTGGATTTACATGATATATATATATATATATATATATATATATATATATATATATATATATATATATATATATATATATATATATACTGTATATTTTCATTCTTAATATTTGTTTGCGTATGTCCCAGATTAAGAAATAAAAATATACATAAAGAATCCATAAATATGTTGTCAAGTCAAATAATAAAGTAGACAGTTCATTATTGCATTCTCATATTCTCAAATATTGGAATAAAATAAAATTATTTTTGCATTAATTTTCATGGTATCAAAATTTATTAAGATATTGATAGGAATTGTCTTGAGTCATAATAGGGGGATGTAATACACGATAAAACAAAATATTACCTCTTTTTGTGTGAACCAATATGACACCTCGAACGAAGGATTTTGACAATCATACCGAGAAAACACGAGTCGTACTTTGATAATTTAAACATTTATGGAATCCATCCCGGAAGATACTTTTATTTTTAGCTTGTGTACAGTATCCCTCTTAATCTATAATAACTGCTGATGAACAATATTATCAGAATGCGCTCTTAAAGACCTTAATTTTTCAAATGCTAAAATACAATATAACTTTATCAATAGCAAAAGCAAAACAAAGAATTCAGACTGTAAACACAGAAATTGTTGATGCCTGAAGGTAAAGTTAGTTGTTATAAAAATTATATAGAGTTGATATTATATAACCTGTAATGGTATCGTGTTACAGAATTCTGTAACATTTAACACTACTGTATGTTGTGTGAATAGAATGTTAATGAATTCAACCATAAATAAACATTACTTCTCTTGTCAATTATGTTAAAATAATTCCTTAATATTTAATCCATAAGTTCTGATGGAACCTAATGGTAGTTAGGGTTGGAGGGAGAGGGTATTTCTTACAAAGCTTTTATTTAACCACTTATTTTATTCAACCACTTAGTTCACTAGCCGTTCGGGCGCTTGGTTTGTGTTTCCTTACTATATTATGACCTTGATTGTCTATTAGTATTACTTAGTATTACAAGAGGACCCGGAGAAACTCTATGGTGTTTGGTAGTGTAACACAGGATAATATCCGTCTCACATCTGTCCAGACCCGGGAAATGAACCCCGGATATAAATAGAGAGGTACGCTCGTTTACGTTGTAATTTGGAAATTTTATGTACTGTATCATTTTACAGAAGGTTGAGGTTGTATCAAACCTCTGTTATTCTGTTCTGCTCCCTCGACTTTCTTGCTGTATTGAACACTGAACTCCTTTTCTTCTACGCCTTGGATCGACCCTTTTCTAATCGAGGTTAGACATATATACAAGAGTTGTACGTTACTGGCCTTGTGCCCCCCTGCTTTATTTTAAGCCCCCGTTATCTACTATGCTGTACAGTACTTCACGTTACTATGCCTTTTCTTGAAACCTTCCTGTTATTTCGTGGCCTGTGCGACAGAACAATTTCTCTTTCTCAGTAAACTTTGTAACAGAAAAAAACTCCATGCTCTATTATATTCAGCGATTCCTATTGCTTTATCATGGCCCAGGATCTAGATTCCCAGAGATCCGTACATTACTTCTTTTCCATCTTGTGGAATTACAAAAGAGATTATATCATATGGTAGTTACGTTCAACTCTCAATTCACTTTCAACGCCATTTTGGCGCCCATTTTTATTTTTATTTTTATTTTTGTAAGTTATGTAAATTATTCCATTTTGACTTCTCAAACAACTAAGGAAAGATTTTAACGTACGAGCTTTTAGAGAATCGAAATCAGAGTTGCAAGTTCATGTAAATGATGGTTGCAACGTATGTAGTGATAATCAAACTCTTGATAAAAGTAAAACTATTGTCGGACCCCGTGAACATAACTTTCTGCTCAATACATAAATTTCTGCTGTATGTACTGCTTAATGCTAGAAATTTCTCGCTGTAAATAAATATAATGTATTTGTTCATCAATTTATTTATCGTTTTTTTATTTATGTAATTATAATTCCATTTACCTATTGATAGATATAACAGAGGAAGAATCTCAGTAATGTTACCTTTAAAGTTGTTTTGTGATAAAACTTTTATAGAAAAAATAACATAGGTTCCTCTATACAAGGTTATTCTTTTAGTTAACGTCTTTATGGCTCGCCCATAGAGGTAGTTCTATACTCTCATAATTTTTCATTGTTGGTGGACTAGTGTAATTAATAACCTTTTTGCGTACTGAAAGACATTAGTTGTTGAAGTGTAATAATAACACTATAACGTCAACGACTCGCCTATCCTGTCAGTCAACTATATTTAAAGACTTTCAAAATGTGTGTTAAGTTATCGAGGGCTAAAGTTAAATTATCGTGTTAAGTTTTCCAGGGGTAATGTTAAATTATCGTGTTAAGTTATAGATAACGATTTTGTCTGTGTGTTGCCGGTATGTGTTTTTTTTTTTTACTACTTCTAATAAAATAGTTCTTACTGTTGTAACTTCAAAGAGAATCCTTCATTTGCATTTACTGTTATATATAAACATAAGAACAAGAAAATCTGTGTATTACTTATAATTAAAAAATTTTATCAATTGTTGACGGTTGATTATATAATTTATTGTTTTCACATAACCAAAAGTTCATTTACTGTTGTTGGTATTTATTTGTTTAAGGTGAATCATATGTGGAGGTCATCTGCACTCTTATCAACAAAATCGTATTTTCTTTAAAATAATCATAATAACTACCATAGGATTGTATGCACTAATAACAAGAGATGAATAATCTGTTACCTAAGTACCTATTTATATTTGTATTTCATATTAATATTCAATAATGTATCACACTATGGTCCTGTTTCATATTGCTCATTATTTTTCAATGTAGGCCTACTGTGTTTTGCTTCCCGTTGGGCGTGTTCTTAACCCTTTTAACTCATTGAGTATAATGATAACCACCCCATGTGTATAATGACTTAACCCCATGAGTATGATGATTTAGCCCCTTGAGTATTGTGAAATCTTTTGAGTACGATGACTTAATCCCTTGAGTAAAATGACTTAACCCATTAAGTACTGTGACAATCCATTAAGTACTTTGGCTTAATTATCCCATTGAGTACGATACTTTATCCCCTTGAGAATATTGACTGAGCTCCTTCAGTATAATTACTTAACCCCTTGAGTATTGTAACAGCGTCCTTGATTACCATGGTTTAACCCTTTGAGTATAATGACATATCCTTGAGTACGATGA